GTGTGTTGCAGTATGGATGTGTGTGTGTTGCAGTATGGATGTGTGTGGAGGTAAATGAGGAACAGATTGTGTTGTAAAAAGCTTTGAGTGTGTTGATCAGAGGGAAAGGAGCTGTATATTTATGTGGCAGTGTTGTCAGTGTGTGTGAGACTGTTTATCGCTTTAATTCAATTTATTTTTCTGTTCATGGTCAGGATTCTGGCTCGTAGCAGATGGAAACCTAAAATTAAGATTCTCAAAGAACTAGAATATTACAAAAAATAAAGTCCAAGCTCAATAATCCAGGTATAAAATCCAACATTTTTCAGTCAGGTCATCTGGACAGTTTCTTTTTTTGTGCTGAAATGTTTCACCTTCGATCCAGAAGGCTTCATCAGTCAAGGAAACACACAACAAAACTGATTCTTCCTCCAACAGCTTACTCCAAAGTGGAACAAACCAGTTCTGCTTGTGATAAGATGGTCTCTTTGGTACGCCCCTCCTCCATTGCCAGCCCTCTTCCTTGTTGACAGTCTTGTCAAACTGGACCTGGATTGTTGAGCATGGACTTAGTTGTTTTCAACCAGTATTTAATATGAGTTTACCTTTTGAACTGATTTATTGAAAAAAATAATTTGTCCATGACATTCCAACATTGAAAAGTACCTGTATAGAGCTAATGATTGGTGTGGGAGTAGCTGAGAGTCATTCCCAACCCATACTTTAGGCGTTAAACATTGTGAAAGACCTTTGTTTAAAACTTCAGTGTGGCCTGTTGGGGTCAAATCTGTTTGTTATCAACATATCTTGTTTTATTTTTCAACCCGTTTTATTCAGACCTGGAAAAGTCCAGGCTCGTAGAAACCCTGTGAGCATCAGTTCCTGACAGAACTAAACTGATGAAGTTAAACGTGCACGTGGTTCACATAAACCCCACAGAAGATCAGAACGCTAAGCAGCAAGACAGAAGAGGAACAGAAACCAGAGGAGGCGGAGTAAGGTTTGTCAAACCCAGAGATGGATGAGATTAAAAATGTTCAACAGGTTAGTCAGCAGTCATGCAGGAAACCTTTAATGTGGCCATTTTAGGGATAGGAAGGTACACTAATGTCTCTGAGGGCTTTGAACAGTGAATGTTTGTAGTTTTAGAGAGGAGTGTTTTTCTGGACTGGAACTGAACAGGGAACACAAGTAAACTTTAATGTTTTGGTGCAACATATTCAAGAGGGTAGGAGTTACACTGTGAAGAACAGACGGAGGGTTTTTTCTTGTTCAAGGCAGCACAGAGTGATGGAGCCTGGCGAGTAGAGGGAGCGATTTTATCCCCCGCCAGGTGCAATGGGTAGCCAGGGGGTGGCCAATGGTGGCCTCGACTACTATAGATTAACTTTTGGACAAAATCATTTGAATAAACTATATTTTTAATTTAAAAAAAACAACAACTCATGGACAGGAAGAAGCAAGGAGCTCAGTGTCCCTTGGCCAGACGTGGGCTACCGGGGCCCCACCCTGGAACCAGACCTGCTTGTGAGTGAGGTTGAGCGGTACCGACTAGATATAGTTGGGCTCACCTCAGTGTACAGCATGAGCTCGAGAACCAATCTCCTTTAGAGGGGCGGGACCTTATTTCACTCTGGAGTTGCCCATGGTGAGAGGTGCTGAGGCAAAAGCTCGGATGTGGGAGGAGTTTGGTGAGGCCTTGGATAGAGACTTTAGGTGAGCTCCGAGGAGATTCTGGCAAACCATCAGGCTGCTGAGGAGAGGACAACAGCTCTTTACTAACACTGTGAAGGTGGCATGCTGTTGACCTCAACCAGTGATGTCATCGGGAGGTGGAAGGAATACTTCTCGGACCTTCTCAATCCCACCAGAAGGAAGCTGCCATGGAGGAAGCCGAGTCAGGGGACTTTGGGGTTGGTCTGTCCATAACCGTAGCTGAGGTCGCCGAGGTAGTTGGAAACCTCCATGGCAGCAAAGCTCTGGGGGTGGATGAGATTCGCCCTGATTTCCTTAAGGCTCTGGATGTTGTGGAACATCGACACACCTTTGCAACATTGCATAGACATCAGGAGCAGTGCCACTCGATTGGCAGATTAGGGTGGTGGTCCCCTCTTCCAAAAGGCGGAGCAGAGGGTGTGCTCCAATTATAGGGACATCACTCTCATTAGCCGCCCTGGTAAGGTCTATTCAGGGGTACTGGAGGAGTGAGTCCAATCGTTGGTTGAGCCTCAGATCCAGGAGGAACAATACGGGTTCCATCCTGGCCGTGGAACACTGGATCAGCTCTTTACCCTCACTAGGGTCCTCGAAGGGTCATGGGAGTTTGCCCATCAAGTCTACATGTGTTTTGTGGACTTGGAGAAGGCTTTCAACTGTGTTCCTTGAGGTAAACTATGGGGGGTGCTCTCTGAGTATGGGACTGTGGGCCCGTTGTTATGAGTTGTTCGGTCCCTATACAAGTGATGCGAGAGTTTCGTTCGCATTGCCGGTAGTAAGTCGGACCCTTCAGGGTGGGAGTTGGACTCAACCATGGCTGCCCATTGTCACAATTCTGTTCATAACTTTTATGGACAGAATGTCTCGGTGCAGCCAGCGGGCGGAGGGAGTCCGGTTCGGTGGCCTCAGGATTCCATCTCTGCTCTTTGCAGATGATGTGGTCCTGTTGGCGTCATGTTGGCCTCCCTGCTCAAGCTGCTTAACCTGCAACCCAACTTCGAAACAAGTGGAAGATAATAGATGGATGGACACTTAATAAATAGAAAGCATAGTTTTATCAAATGAATGGGGTGATCAGTTTACAAGATGGTATTGTCCATCTTGGATTGTGACATGGCACCCATTTTTTTTGATAGTGAGCTTTTCTTACATCTAGATGTAGATATATACCAAAATGGAAGTTGGTACCCCACTTATTTTTCATGTTATCATGCTCACAACAGGCACGGCTGGATGAACGAAGGGTATTTTCAATTTTCCTCTTCGCTCTGCGATGGGGGGGGGGGGGGGAATTAAACCCTGAATCTTTGAAATATTCAGTGTCCTCCACAAGATCTCAGAGTTTGAGTTTAAAGAGGTTCTAAAGTTTTGTTTCTGACATTTTTTGTTTCAACATGTGTGTTTACCTCTGCCAGGTCAGGTCCTCCTCCAGGAAGATGTTCCTGCTGGCCTTCCGGCCTCCCACGGGCGTCCGAGGCTCACTGGGTTCCAACATGGACACAGAGCAGGGGGAGTCTGACAAGGAGCTCAGCTCCTCTCCGATGGAGCCCGACTCTGCCGAGTGAGTGTAGTTCAGCGCCAGCTTCCGGCAGTATGTGCACGCTCGCAGATCTCCTGAATACAGAGAAAGACAGTCCAAGACGAGGACAGAGTTCAAGAAAAAAGATCAAACAAAGAGCTATGAGCCTCAGAAACTAAAAGTTAGTTTTACTTATTTTACAACCAGCTGTAGGAAGATTTTAAAACAAATACAGATAAGAGCTAAAAAAAAATGAAAAAAAATTAAGTCAGTGTCCAAAGGCTTTTCATTTAACAGTTTTGCTCAACGTCCGCACAGACCAGTCTGTCTTTAAGTTTCCTCTGGCCGTTCATAAATCACTACTGAGCCTGATCCCACATGGAAGTGTGCGCTTTCAGGAACAAAACAGGAAGCGTCAAACCAAAACAGGCGTGGATCAGAACTCTGCTGGGTTGTTTAGTGATGGACGCACCACCCTCATGTCTGTTAAAAAAACAAATTAATTAAAACTCAGTTTAACGATCCTCTTTGTGGTAAAATAATTTTTTTAACCAACTACAAATTTGCTGCAGCACGGTGGCACAACTGGTAGAGCCGCTGCCTCTCAGCGAGAAGGTCCTTGGTTCAAACCCCGGTCCAGGGGCCTTTCTGGGTGGAGTTTGCATGTTCTCTCCGTGCATGCGTGGGTTTTCTCCGGGTACTCCAGTTTCCTCCCACAGACCAAAAACATGCATGTTAGGCTGATTGATAACTCTAAATTGTCTCTAGGTGTGAGTGAGAGAGTGAATGGTTGTTTGTCTCGTTTGTCTCTATGTGTCCCTGTGATGGACTTGCGACCCGTCCAGGGTGTACCCCGCCCCTCGCACAGTGATTGCTGGACATGGGCACCAGCGACCCCCGTGACCCAAAATGGAATAAACGGGTAAAGATAATGGATGGATGGATGGATGGATGGAACTACAAATTTTCTGTGCGTCATCATCAATATGACCTTGGTAATAAATCTGTCTGTTGTTGCTTAATCCTGTCTCACACCAATGTCTTCAGTCATATTATGTTGACCTGTACAGATGTGTTGCCACTTTACTCAGTGGCACAGAGGTGCACTAGGTGTGCGCTGTCTTCAAAACTCCTCACTGCCTTGGTCCATTCAGAAGACCCTGAGGCAGCCAGAACATGTCTCAGATTGAGGCGTCTTGAGAAAGAGTCTTATTCCTCTGGTTATAGCACTATTCCAAACACAACCACCTCTGCTCTGGTGTTAATAGGAGCCTGCACACGACACGGTGGACCTGTGATCCTGCTGATGCCAGTTGTTGAGATGAAGACTTGGATGACACTAAGAGTTGTCAAGTGGCCAGAACCTGTGTCTGGATGGTAGGTGCAGATGTTACAACAACCCTTGCTGGAACCTTCACGACGTGTGTGGGTGTCCCCACTGGTGACACATTGTGGAATCTGTATACACTTTGTGACCATTGGTCCTCATGCAAACCCTAAAATACCCCATAAAATCCTGGCCACGCCGTCTAGTGCATCTACAAGATATCTTCTGGGCCTGCTAGCATTCAGTCACTGTTCAGACAGTAACACCATCACTCCCATCATGTGATAATGATTTGAACCCAACAGTAAATTTAGAAACTCATCTTCTAAGACAAACTGTAGTTTATCGCCTGAGATGAAAACGTCTGGCTCTTGGAACATGTAGACTAATTTTGAAACAATTAACTGGAAGAAACATCTGTTAACTTGCATTCCATGGTTTCATCAAGAGTAAAGACAACTTCATTGTCTGCATACATTAAAAAGTCTATCCCCACACAGAGGGCCTTGTTATCCTTATCCTTATTGAGGTTATTGTTAAGCACTTTGGCAACAGCTTCTGTTTAAATGTGCTCTATAAATAAAGTTGACTTGACTTATTAAATAGAAGTTTTCATCTCAGTAAGTCAATAAACATGAAACTCAATGAAACTATGAAATCCTTCCATAACCATCAGCGTTCCCCACACCACTTACCTGTGTAGCCCATGAACTTTCCAGGGATCTCCTGGTTGCAGCAGCGGCTGCAGAAGATCTGGCCACACAACCTGCAGTGGTGTCTGCGGCGGAAGGTGGTGAACTTCTCGTTGCAGTCGTAACACTCTTTACACTGGCTGTCTGGCATCCAGTACTGCTTCAGATCGCTGTCCTGAAGAGAAATAACGAATCAGGCTTGAACTTCAATACAGCATGGCTCCCATGGCTTGGGATTTTAGTCAAACAAACTTAAAATATGTCATGCCAAAATTCTACCAGCATGACGCGTTGAACTAGGGGTGAAAATACACTGGATCATGTATCCATTACCATCAAACAGGCCTGCAGAGCCATGGCCCTCCCCCACCTGAGCCAGTCAGACCACCTTTCTCTGCTCCTTACCCCAGTCTTCCCAGGAAAGTATTAAAGGTCTGTATAAAGCAACCGTCCCAGGTCTTTACCACACTGTTCAACCACTCCCTGCTGCAGATCATCGTGCCAGCGTGTTTTCAAACCACCACTATTGATCCGGTCCACAAAAAGCACACATGCCGTCAGTCTCAGTGACTTCCACACCCTGTGGCTCTTACTCCAATCATCACAAAATATTTGGAGTGGTTGGTCTTGCACCACATCAAATCCTGCCTTCATTTCACCTTTGATCTACATTAGTTGGTCAACAGCAAGGGTGTCAAACTCACTTACAAAAGGGGCCAAAATTAAAACCTTTTTCAAACTAAGGGCCAATTTCAGAATCTACATTAACTCACATCAGATACCCAACATCTTTCTGTTGTGCTTTTATCATAATCAAAGATTACTGAAAAAATTCAAGAGGTAGAAATATTTTACGTTTCACATATCATCTTGGGGGCCGGATAAGATGTCACTGAGGGCCACATTTGGCCCCCTGGCCTCGAGTTTGACACATATGGTCTACAGAGTCAACAAATCAACAGAGGACACCACAGAATCAACCCTCCATACTGCTCCGAGCCACAGAAGAGCTACATCAAGACACTTTGTGGACTACAGGTCAGCCTTTAATACTATTCTACCAGACATCCTTCTCAGCAAACTGACTGGCCTTGGTCTTCCCCATTCACCTGCCACTGAATCAAAGATTCCCTCACTGACTGACACCAGATGGTGAAATTTGGCCATCGTTTGTCCTCCACACTCGTACATTCAGCAAAGGCTCTCCACAGGGATGGGTGCTGAGCCCCCTTCTCAAGTGCCTTTACACCTATGACTGTAACCTGCTCACAAAAGTAACACCATAGTGAAGTTTGTGGACTATACTACAGTGATGAAAGAAGATACGTCTGTCTATGGGGATGAAGTCCTGAGACTAACATTGTGGCCTTCAGTCATCAATCTTGTTCTGAACATCACAAAGATAAAAGGAAGTCATCCTGGACTTCAGCAAACTGAGGTTAGACCCATCCCCTATCTATATCAATGGCGAGTGTGTGGCAAGGATACACGACATCAGGTTCCTGAGCACCCAGATATCTGCTGACCTCTCCTGGTCCAACAACACAAAAGCCATCTTGAAGACAGCTTGGCAGTGTCAACACTTTCTGAGGGTGCTCAGGAGAAATAATGTGGCAGAGTTGTTCATGGCAAACTTCTGTGCTTCCATCGTGAGTGTGCCGACCTACTGCATCTCAAGGTGGCTTCTCAGTGAGATGTACACATTTACACATAGACATGCATATATATCCTGATGCACGCTCGTTAATCCAGGGGGTAGATAATCTAACAAGGTTCTGTCAGGTCCTTTGGATGAATTCTTTGTCGATATAATGTTTTGTCTTTTATTCAAAGACTTCTTCAGTCTGAGGAGCTGCAACAGACTCAGTCTTATGAACAGCACCTTCTCATAGTGGATCTATCAGTTTGTTGTTGACATCTAGAACTAGTTGTTCACGTGTGAAAGGAGGACCATCAGCCTAACGACCGATCATTAGTGCCCTGGTTGTCGTTTGCTAGTCACATGTATTAAAGCAGATTTTTTTTCTACACCTAGAAACCTACCCCCCACACGCACGCACGCACGCACGCACCAACATCACACACCTGAGAGCTTTTTCCTGCATACAGGTCACTTCTCAAAAGGTTTTTCAGGTGAAAATGAGTGTACCGAGTACATGATCTTAAAGTAGTTTAATGTTCTCCAACACCATCAAGAGCAACATTCTGAACAACTTTTCTGTAGTTTCATTTAGAGGGGTTGTCAGACATGTTTAAAAATGTAGCACAAAGTCTTATGAAGTGTATAAATTTAATGTTTTTTATTTTAGACTGACAGAAGTCTGCCTTGAAGTTATTTACAAGATTTCAGCTCATGTATTCATTTATCATTACCATTTTTTTTGTATTTGATCATTTATTAAATGACATATATCACAGTACAGTTACCTCTCAGTACGATGGTAAATATAACTAAGTTTAGTTAATCCAAACAGCCACAACATCTCGTTAATGGACAAGATGTTATGAACTGAATATAGCAGATATTTATGATCAACTACAAACACCTAAAATGAGGGATTCAGTATTTTGCTCATGGACACTGACATGTGACTGCATTCTGCCAGGAACTGAACCTCCGACTCCCTTGTTGGAGGACAACTCCTCCGCCCACTGAGCCACAAGTCTAGGCCTGAAAGGGTGAGTTTCCATGGTTGGCTGTAGGCCCAGTTGTCCTTTAGGCAGGTGTTTGGGAGTTAGTCCCTGATAGATATCATACCATTAGCATAACCGCTGCTTCAAATGCCCATGAGCCTCGTGTTAATGAAAGTACCTGGCTCCTTCCCTCCATGATTTCCTTCAGCCTCTTCAGAGCCGTGCGCAGCTGCACCGCCGTCCGAGGGTCATGATTGCTCAGGGGAGCCTCAGATTTCCTGCTGCCATCTAAACAAACACACAATTATTTCCTTGAAGTTGTATCAAAATTTATTCTGTGGCTCTTGAGATGGTTTGCCAACATGTGAACACACACACACCGCTCAGACAGACGTGTGCTAAAACATTATTTGACTAAAGATGAAAAGCAGGTAAAATTATTTAGCATCAAAATTTAAATTTAATAGAAATTTTTAAAAAGCAAAGTACTAAAATAAATTATTAGATCATCCTTTTTTAGCGATGGATGAATCTGCAATTTACTGAAAGTTTTCTACAGAGGAATAAACCTTCTTTAAAGATTTAAATGATAAAAATTAAGCTTTCTTTGGAGATGAATAATCTGCAGCACAAACTAAATAAACCGAAGATAAAACTTTAATTGTTTTAAAAAACAATGACAATGTCTCAGTAACTTCGGTGTTAACCACATTAAACATTAAAAACACCAGAAACACAGAAAACAGTTGATTTAAATGTTGGCGCTCCAGGTCACACGTCACTGCCCTGAGCTGAGGCCGGCTGCTCTTTAATGCAGCGCACGGTTTGACGTTATTAGTTTAGTGCAGATCTCACATCTTTGAGCGTTCATTTAGCATATACGTATCTTAGAGTACATCTTACACACTAATATACTGTTTCTTTTTATACTTTATATTTTGCTATTTTTGAGTGTGAGGCAGCTCTTTACCAACACTGTGTTCACTGAAGGTGGGTTGACCACAACCAGTGATGTCATCAGGAGGTGGAAGGAATACTTCTCGGACCTTCTCAATCCCACCGGCACGTCTTCCATGGAGGAATCTGAGTCTGGGGACTTTGGGGTTGGTCCATCCATAACTATGGCTGAGGTCGCTGAGGTCGCCGAGGCCGTTAAAAAGCTCAGAGGCGGCAGGGCTCCGGGAGAGGATGAGATTCACCCCGATTTCCTTAAGGCTCTGGATGTTATGGGGCCGTCTTGGCTGACGCACCTTTGCAACATTGTGTGGACATGGGGGCAGTGCCACTGGATCAGCAGACTAGGGTGGTGGTTCCCATCTTCAAAAAAGGGGGACCGGAGGGTGTGCTCCAATTACAGGTGCATCACTCTCCTTAGCCTCCCTAGTAAGGTCTGTTCAGGGGTACTGGAGAGGCGAGTCTGATCGTTGGTCGAACCTCAGATCCAGGAGGAACAATGTGGGTTCCGTCCTGGCAGTGGAACGCTGGACCAGCTCTTTACCCTCACTAGGGTCCAAGAGGGATCATGGGAGTTTGTCCATCTGGTCTACATGTGTTTTGAGGACTTGGAGAAAGCTTTCAACAGTGTTCCTTGAGGTACACTGCCGGGGCTGCCCGTCGTCATCGATTCTGTTCATACATTTTATGGACAGAATTTCTTGGTGCAGCCAGGAGGTGGAGGAAGCCTCGTTCGGTGGCTACAGGATTCAATGATGTGGACTTGTTGGCGTCATCATGCCATGAGCTTCAGTTCTCACTAGCCTCGAGTGAAGGAGTTCTAGTATCTCGGGGTTTTGTTCACAAGTGAGGGAAGAATGGAGCGTGAGACTGACAGATGGATTGGTGCAGTGTCTGCAGTATTGTGGACTCTGTGCCGGTCCGTTGTGGTGAAGAGGGAGCTGAGTTGTAAGACAAAGCTCTCTGTTACCAGTCGGTCTACGTTCCTCCCCTCACCTCTGGTCATGAACTCTGGTAGAGACTGAAAGAATGAGATCATGGATCCAGGAGGTTGAAATGAGTTTCCTGTGCAGGGTAGCTGGACTCTCCCTTAGAGACAGGGGGAGAAGTTCAGTTATCAGGAGAGACTCGGAGGAGAACCTCTGCTCCTCCACATCCAGAGGAACCAGTTGAGGAAGTTCAGGCATCTGGTAAGGATGCTCCCTGGGCGCCTCCCTAAGGAGGTACTTCAGGCATGTCAGACTGGGAGGAGACCTTTGGCCTGGGAACCATTGGGATCCCCCCAGAAGAACTAGAAGAGGTGACTGTGGAGAGAGATGGACCTCCCTGCTCAAGATGCTGCCCCAAGACCTGACCTCAGAACAAGAGGCAGATGATGGATGGATGGATGGATGGATGGATGGATGGATGGATGGATGGA